ATAAACAGATGGAAAATAAGCACATGACATATGAAAAGATGTTCCATGTCATATGACACCAGGGAAATGCAAGCTACAACAGCAGTGAGACGCCACCAGGCAGCTGTCAGAGCACCTAGTCAGGGCACAGACACGGCCAGCACTGCTAAGGGCACGAGTGACAGAAATGCTCGCTGTGGGGGTGGGGGGCACAACAGTGTATGACCACTTCCATTCCTTACAGAACTAAATGTGCTCTTGCTACAATAATCCAACAATTATGCTTTTTGATATTTACCAAAAGGAGCTAAAACCTTTATTTACACAAATCTGCACAGAGATGTTACAGCAGCTTCATTCATAATTGACAGTACTTAGAAACAAACTAGATGTTCCACTGTAGGTGAAAAGATAGATAACATAAACTGTGGTACGTCCATTCAATGCTGAAAAGACATGAGCTACAAAGAGTTGCAAAGAGACCTGAAATACTATCACAAAGTGAAGGCACCACTGAAGGGGCCACACACTGTGTGTTCCCAGCTCTCGGACTCAGCAAGAGGCAAAACCACAGAGACACAACCAGGGCTGCGGGTGTGGCGGGGAGCTCCAGAAGTTGGACAGGTAAGCTCTGCACTCCATCCCACAGCACTGCTCTTCCCAGCATCCTTTCCATTACCCCACCTTACACAGTCTTACTTGCAACTCTGTTTAAAGCTTCCTGTAAAAAAGACAAGTCGTAAATAATGAAAGAAAAAAGGAACAAAATCTCTTCTCTAAGATTTGCCAGATAGACTTTTGCATTTGCATCAAGTCAGTAGCCTGACCCATCTGCCCCTCGCCCAGCCCCCTCACCTCTGCCCGAGGACTGACCCTCCAGAGGGTGTGTGGGCCTGCCCCAGAGGGTGTCTTCCAATCTGGTCACACAGAGGCTTCCTCACTGGGGCTCCCCCTTCCTGTTTGGGCACAGCTGCTTGTTGGGTATTAAGAATGGCTATCTAGACAAATCTATGAAAATACAAGCCCCAGAAATTTGGCAAAAAAAACCCCAGAAGAGCAGGCACAGCACAGAAGCCCTCTGGACCTGCCCAAGGTCCTCCTGCTCCTTTAGGGATGGGGCTAGATTCTGTGGAGAGGCTGTTGGCACCCGGCATCGTCACATGGGCTTCTGTCTCCATGGACACAGTCTATCTGTCTGATGCCCACAAGGGGTCCTGGGAGGAGGCCATACCAAATGATGTTAGTTTTCTAGGGAGTGGTGTGGAAAGCAGCCTGGCTGGGCTGCTCACAGCTGAGCACCCACAGTGCTGCATGCTGGGTTTGGGGCAGCCTGGCTGAGCTTCACAGAGGGATGCTGGTTTCTCTCCTCCTTCCTTGTCACTGGACACTGCAGGGAGAGAAACCCTTTTCCTTCCCAACTCGGCTGATGCTGCACTGGGCACCTCTCAGAACCCCCAGCACTGGGGCATCTCCTTTTGGCCTCCCTGATCACACTGTCCCTGCAGAGCTTCCCTGACCTGCTCAGGTCTCTGTGAGGCTCAGCATCAGCTGGGCATAGGTGCAGAGAAATCTGGAAGCCTAGAGGTGAGGACCCTTTATCCACCAAAGCCCAGGAGAGCAACACAGTAAACTAAACCTGATTTCTTTTTTTATCATCCTGGGTAGGGTGTCACAGCATCACAGCTCACAGCAACCTCAAACTCCTGGGCTCAAGTGATCCTCCTGCCTCAGCCTCTCTGGTAGCTGGGACTACAGGTGCCTGGCACAACACCCAGCTAATTTTTCTATTTTTAGTAGAGGCAGGGTCTCATTCTTGCTCAGGCTGGCCTTGAACTCCTGAGCTCAAGCAATCTGCCCATCTCAGCTTCCCAGAGTGCTATGGTTACAGGTGTGAGCCACTGTACCCCACCTAAATTTGACTTTAGACAGTGGGCCCTTAAGGAGCTCCAACGTTCTCTTAATTCACCTAAATTCTTGGTCAGGTACCACTGTTTAACCTCTTGAGACTCAGTTTCCTAATGAGGAAGTGAAGCTGCTAATAACACTGTCATTTAAGGAGGGCACACCTGTAATCCCTGGGAGGCTGAAACAGGCAGATCACTTGAGCTCAGGAGGTCAAGACCACCCTGAGCAAGAGCGAGACTCTGTCTCTACTAAAAATCGAAAATCTAGCCAGGCCTTGTTTTGGGTATCTATAGTCCCAGCTACTCAGAAGGCTGAGGCAAGAGGATCACTTGAACCCATGAGTTTGAGGTTGCTGTGAGCTAGGCTGGCACAATGGCACTCTAGCCTGGGTGACAGAGTTTCACTCTGTCTCAAAAGAAAAAAGAGAGAGAGAAAGAAAAGAGGAAAGAAAGAAAGAGAAGCAACTGGGTTGCTTACATGGAAGAATTCATTCACCTAGCAAATCCTGTGCCAGGCACCTGTGGGCCTTTCAGACACAAATGGTGAAGAGAGAGGCCCAGTCTGCTGTCCTCACTACCACAAAATCACACAAATGTGCAACCACAGGCTGTTCTTGAGGTGAGGATGGTGTTCTGTCCTGTGGGTGGGTGGGGAGGGACCTGAGCTATCTGTGGGACCAAGGTCTGCCAGACCGGCTGAACAGAGACACAGCCACACTCCCTACACCTCCTCCAGGGAGCACAGAGGCCCCTCTGGAGCCTTCTTGCTAAACACTGAACACAAGTGACCACAGCTCTGGGCCCAGCTGCTCCTCACAGGAGATACAGAGCAGAGACCCAGTTAACACCTCTGGATACAACCAGCATCACACGGCAAGTGGAAAACTCCACAAGACAAATTATCTTAGTTTGAGGATGGAGAAACCTCCGATGTTCAAAGGAGAAGCATAGACCCATCCACTTGCATAGACCCACACCACATTTTGTTCATTCACAAAACAAATGATCTTGGTTTGAGGATGGAGAAACCTCCAGTGTTCAAAGGGGAAGTACAGATCCACCCAACCATCTGTGGATCCTGCTTCAGAAGAACCAACTATGGAAAAATACCTGACACCTGGGAAATCTGAGCCTTGACTAGGTGCTTGGTAAAATCGGAACAACACTATGAAGCTTTAGGTGTGATAAAACAACTGCAGTTATGTCTGTACGTAGGAAAAGAGCCCCTTTCAGTAAGTAATATGATTCGGAAACACAAATATATGACATCTCCCCAAGCCTGGATTTGCTTTAAAGGTATGAGGGGAGGAGGGAACAGTACTGGCACAGAAGCCACAGGACAGCAAGTGAGTTGCTGTGCCCTGAGTCACCGTGCACTGTCTCTGGGTGACACACCAGATACCGTGGTACAATTCTCCCCAGCACTGTATCTAGTGTTTGATGCCTCACACGGCACTTTCTAAGGCACCGTGTAGTCAGGAAGACGTCTTTATAGAATGATAATCAGGAGCACAGCAGCACAGGAAAGGTGCCAAGGTGACGTAAGTAGCAGGGTCTCAGGGTACCGGAAGAGCATGTACCCTACACACCTATACCTCAGGTGTAAAGAGCGGTGGGAGGGTGCCAAGGAATGGGGAGCTGATTCCGAGGTGTATAGCTCACCCTGCCTATGCACCAGCTCCCCAGATGGACGTGATGGTCACCTCCTCCAATTCCCAGGAACTGGCACAGACACCAAACTGGAAGTTCTAAGTTGTGGGTGACAGGGTGGGAGATAGAACAGGGCTGGGAGAGAAGAAGAGGAAGGCAGAAGTGGTGGGCAGACGGGGCTGGCCCAGGGAGCATGAGCCGCTGCAGGGACCTAGGGCTGGGCTGGGGCCTAGGGGCTGGGGACAGCAGTAATAGTGTGGAGGAGGCTGCAGGGGTGGCCGGGGCTCCTCAGGGGAGCACAGGGTTTGACCCAGGAGAAGTAGCCTGGATAGGAAACCACCCAGGAAAGGAAGGCTCCTCAACCCACCAGAACACAGCCCCTCTCTGGTGGGTTTTACGTGCAAATGATTCTCAGCCAAGGGTGTAATCTGTTTCCTCCTAGGCCTTTTCCCCAAAACAGGAATGAGGGGATGTCACCAGTAGCTTCTATGTCCCTCCCTCTGTCACCATCCATTCCTTCCATTCACAAACTGCCGTAAGGGACAGAGCACAGAAAGCAGGCCTATCGGGGCCCCTCCTAACAAGTTGTACTTGGCCAACAGAGAGGGCCGATGCTAAGGGAGGGTCAGCCAGGGACCGTAACCATCATCTGCGGCTCCTAGACTCTGTGCTTTTCTCAAGGCAGAGCCATAGTTTATCAGGATCCTCCTACTGGAGGCTCCACAGAACACAAGCAGATTAGCATCATCTGTGTATCAAGCTCAGGAAACAGCGAGCCCGCACCTGCCCCAGCTGACCCTGGCCTGGTCACCACTCATGGGAAGATGCTAACAGCTGTGGAGCCATCACGCCAGCCTGGGACCACACCACATACCCACTGTGCCAGAGTGGCAGGGAATCCCGGTGGGGATGAGTGTGAGGCAGCCACAGGTTTGGCCACGGGAGGTGAGGCCTGTGGGGAAGGACAGTGGATGCCTGACTATAAGTGTTGTTGGTCTATTTTCCCACATAATTTTGGTAGCTCTGGCTGTGGGCCAGGCCTGGCCTCAACCCTTGTTCCTCACCTAAATCACACAACCTCACTCCTGCTATAGATCCTAAGGGAAGCACACCGCAAAGACCCTCACAAAAACCAGGATTGCTTTTCTGAGCTTCTCTACTAGTAAACTCTTAATTATAGTGATGAATGTCTATGGCATAACTTCCATCTCAGTTTGAAAGCTGTTTGAGGACAGGGCCATGTCTGAGTCATTATTTCCCCATAGAACACTGTTCAGAGTGAGGCATGGGACACCAGTAGCAAGCAGTGTGGTGGCACTGATAGCGGTGACACTACTGCTGGTGGAGGGATGATGATGATGGAGATGTAGTTGTTGATGGGGATGAAGAGGGTGGTGGTGAGGAGCACACATGGCGGGAGCCAAGGAGAACCTTCTCAGGCAGCAGGGCGTCAGGGGGCTGACTCACCTTCACCAGTGCCAGGCTTCTCTTTGGGGTCTCCTGGAGGCAGAGGCCACTTCTGGGAGGTGGCTAGGGCCGAGAGGGGCCTGGGCACTTGTGGGGGCACATGCAGGAAGTGCTGTGGCCCCAGGTCACCCTCCCTAGAGGACGCAGGCAGCCTCTGAGCAGCGTAGGCACCAAGGGCCGCCACCAGATGATGTGTGTCCATGCCTCCATCCACCTTGGGGCTGAGCTCATCAAGCTGGGCCTGGCTGAAGGTCTGCAGCTGGAGGCCCTCGGGGAGCTGGGCCTGGGGCCCTGGAGGATAGGTCAGTGCAGAGGTGCGGGCCATGTAGGTCAGGATGCTCTCGGGGAGGGAGTCGGCACCCTGGGAGACAGAGAACAAACAACACAGAGCAGCAGTTGCCTCTCCATGGTCGGCCACAGGGCTGCAGCACCCTCAGCACAGGCACTGAAATGCCAGGTAGACTGGGCTCATGTCCTGACTCTGCTGAACAGCCACCACCTCACTCCTTAGTTCAGGGCTTTTCAACCTTTTTTATCTCACAGCACACTTAAACCTATAAACTGCCATGGCACACTTAAATAACATTGAACAACAACAAAAAAAAAAAAGAGTAAAAAGAAATAATATACTTACTGTGCTTTGAAAATAATTTAATTAATGATCTTTAAAAATTTTTCACAGCCTAAGATCATCTCACGGCATACCAGTTGAAAATCACTGCCATAGCTGCTTCTTTTTATTTTTATTAAATCATAGCTATGTACATTAATGCATTTATGGGGTACAATATGCTGGTTTTATATAGCTACTTAAATAACAGCTTTATTAAGGTAATACACGCCATGAAATTCACCCATTTTAGTGGTTTTTAGTATGTTCAAAGAGTTATGCAGACCACCACTATTTAATTCCAGAACATTTTCCTCACCCCAAGAATCTCTGTAGCTTCCCACCCTCCCAGCCCTGGAAACACCAGTTGACTTTCCATCTTTATGGGTCTGCCTATTTGGGAAATTTCATTAAACAGAGTCTAATTTCATGGGCCTTCTGCCTCTGGCTCGTTTCACAGAGCTCAGTGTCCCCAAGATGCATCCACGTGGCAGCAGGGGTAAGGACTCCCGCCCTCTGGGCTGAATGGTGCCCCATCGCATGTTCACACCACATTTTGTTCAGTCACTGATCAGCTGGCAGGCATTTGGGTTGTTCCCATTTGGGGCTGTTTTGAATAGTGCTGCTCTGAGCAGTCACGTGGGAGTCTCGGGGTAGATGCACCTCAGCTCTCCCAGGGCGCATGCTGCTGGGTAACTGGTGAGGTCACAGTGACCGGTGTGAGGCTGCTAACTGCACGGTGCTGGCTTTCACAGCCCACCGGTAACAGATGAGGATTCCAACTCGTCCACACCCTTGCCCAGACTTAGTATTTTTCACCCTTTTTTGTCATGGTCATCCTAGTGGTTGAGAAGTGACGTGCTCCATGGTTTTTCACTCCCTGATGGCCAACGGTGCTGAGTGTCTCACACACGGCTGCCATCCCCTCCCTGCACTGGCGTTTGTCATAACCTAATGTGCATGGCCCCCCTGCTGCATCTGCTCTTCAGCCACCTTCCTGGAGGCTCCAGGTCGTCTTTAGTTCACTCCAGCTCCTTTTCTGACTATCTGAGACTTTTTATATGCCACTGTTTTAACTGCCGTGTGGTGCACAGGGACCTTGCCAGGGCTCTGGCTTGATGACACCCCAATGTCACGTGCTGATCCAAGTCCTAGATGACACGGTCTTCCATGGAGCTTTCCCTGTTTACCCCTCACGTATGTCTTGAGTGTTCCCAGGAACACATGTTTTCCTCACCATTTGTTTCTGCCATGAGATAAATGCAGGCCCAGATGCTGTCCTACCTCCAGGACAGTGGTAAAATTATTAAAACTCACAATGTTCTACCTCTGACTTTGGCTCCTTCAGAATTTCCTGAATAACAACAGTGATTTCCAACTTTGAGGCCTTCACAGAGGCTGAGGAACCTGCAGGCACTGTTGGACAGTGTGGGCCAGGCCTGTGGACCTGGATTTTTAAAATTTTGCCCATCCACATCCTACACCTGCGCTTCTGTGGGACACGTGACCCATGTCCAGTGTGTGGGGTGCCCACCATGGCTCTGGGTGAGGTGTGAAGCTTCACTGAATAAAGAAAGTGGTACAGACCCCTAAGTCTGGCCATTTCCAAAAGTACATGGATACTGGGTAGCAAGCAGGAAGCCAGGGAACAGGTTGATGTGGGTTCTAATACGTTCTCACGCATGAACTTGGGAAAAATCACTGAACCTTTTGAGATGCAATTTTCTTCTGTCAAAGAAAGAAAGTGGATGTTAACTCTAAAGTTTTTTTAATATTATCTCTAACATGATATGACTTTAGCTATTATCTAAATCATTTAACTTTGTCCTAGGACTAGCTAAAATCAACTGTTCTTCCATTACAAAATAGAAAGTAAGCTGGAGGTGAGGAGAGGGTGGGTAAGAAAATGCTGCCACACAAACAGCCCTCCAGCAATTTCCCACAAATTGGGTGTAAATGTCAATCTTAACTCAGCCTGCACTTCCTCTCAGAAGGGCTGTCTCTGAACACCTGGCCAGGCCGCCACGCCGGGGGTTGGGACCCACGTCCAAATGCCTCATTAAGGTGCCACAAGCATCTCTGCTTTCTGCCGCGGTGCATCCCGACCCAGCACTTCCTCTCAAAGGGCCTTCAATTAAGACTGAGCCGAGGAGCTGCGGGTACAGGACACACCGGCCCAACACGACACATCACAAATCACAGCAGAACATGATTTGTGCAGGTGACAAAAATAGATTGTTTATGCTCTGAATCAAATTAAGGTGAAGAGGAAAAAGAATATTTCAGTAGTTAGCACAAGCAGAGAAATAGCAGGGACCATTAGCTTTCACCAGTCACCTTAGGGGTTCATGAACAACCACGAATGCTGTGGTGTGTGTCCTCAAGGTGAGGTGGCCTTCCTGCAACCAAGAGGGCCTGGAAGTTGAAGATGAGCAGCGAGGAAAGTGGTCTCAAGGTGACTTGTTCTTTTGGGACTCCACGTCTACACACAGGTGGTGCTAGACTCTGGAGCCCACCTGCACTACAACAAGCTTAGTGGTCTCTGCTTTGGTGAGTTCTGTGACCTGCAGGTCATCTGAAAGTAGGTGTGGTAACATCAGTGCCAGCACAGCAGTGTAACAGCTGCTGCTGATACCTGAACTGTTGTTTGTCTTGGTTCTTACACTTTCAGTTCCTTAAAAGAAGTTAAGAATGCCATAGCTCAGTGAGGGTAAAGCTGTCCAACTCTGTTTTCTTTACTTTCAGCTCTGAGTTTAAAATTCTGTGACTCACTTTTACCCCTCACCCTACTTTAAAGATGTTTTAAGTCTCAATTAGACATGCCTGTGATGTGGGGTTTCCTGAGAGAATGCTGAGTAATTTTTAAGGCTGTAGCTCCCCAAATCTAGAAAGTAAGCAACCTAAAAGTATGAATATAGACCAATTTCCAACATGCAGTGTGGGCACTTCTGATACAGGAAGTGTTCAAGCTGTGAGTAAAAGAAATCTCAGGGCGTCCTGGGCATGGACCACTTTGCCTATGTGAAGCATTCGTGAACCACTGCCAAAGTTTGTTGAGAGTTAAGCTTAAGTCTCTTAAACTGAGATTTAGGCCTATTTCTTAACCCATTGCATTTCCATCCCCACCTCCACCATCATCCCCACCACCACCAGCAGTGTCACCGCTGTCAGCACCACCACACTGCTACTGGTGTCCCGTGCCTCGCTCTGGACTGTATTCTATGGGGGAAGTTTGACTCAGACATGGCCCTGTCCTCAAACAGCTCTCAAACTGAGATGGGAGTTGCACCATAGACCAGGTGTCCTCAAACTACTGCCCGCGGGCCACATGTGGCCTACCTGGGACATTTATTCCGCCCGCCAGGTGTTTTTGCCACCGCTGCCTATCCTGCTTAGCAGCTGATTCATCCCAGGGCCCACAGTCCGGCCCTCCAACGGTCTGAGGGACAGTGAATTGGCCCCCTGTTTAAAAATTTTGAGGACCCCTGCCATAGTCATTAATAACTTTAATTAAGAGGCTCAGAAAAGCAACCCTGGTTTTGGAAGAAAGTGATGAATGTCAGTGGGGGGAAACCAGAGCAGCTTCTGGAGCCAGCGCATACCCCCCATGTGCCACCTCCTGCTTCGGATCTGCAGCCTGCCAGTGAGAGAGGACGTGGTGCTCATGTTCCCAGCTTTCCTGGGGCTGAGCATCAGGCCTCCCTCCTTTGACATGCCTCCCCTGGAAGCCCACCCAATCCCAAACTGCACAATTATGTATTCAGATGACAGAATGGCCTAAGGTCCTGGGAGTCCCACATGCCAGGAGACACAGAGTGGATGAGACTTTTGTCTGTGCACTGGTCACAGGCTCATCAGATATTCTCTTGCACCAAGGATCCAAAACAAATTAGGAAACCCAAATTGGGACATCATTTGACCACATAACACACGTTTTCTCCGTTGGTCTCACAGCCTGAAGGCACCGTTGACAGGCTCACTAATCAGGACGCAGTTGCTGCCAGCTGACAAAACACAGCAGTGGGGCTGTCCACGGGCTTCCTAATGAGGCAGTCCACAGTGCCACGGGAGGCGGCCAGGCCTGGGAGCAGAGGCAGTGGTCTCAGGAGCTCTCCATCCCTGCTCATTAGGGTGGAGCTGAAGCCACTCCAGAGTGCCCTCCCATGCTCTGCCCACGAAGATGACTCTGGCGACTTGCTCATTCTCTCTGTGTGCCTGTTTCTCTTCTCTCTCTCTGCCTGTTTCCCTTCGTCTCTCTCTCTCTCTCTCTCTGTCTTCACATGGTGGAAAGTTTCAACAGGCAGTAGTAATTCAGGCCCACCCACAAGCAGGGGAAAGGGTGGGATCTCATTCTTGCTAATGGGCTGCCACCAGGACAGAAGCAGAGGAGTCCAGTGCTGGTGTTGGTGGTGTTGTCTCTGCCACCCAAGGGGAGACTTGGAGCCTCCAGTGAGGAAAATCAGCCGCATGGTTCTCATAAAGTCACAGCAACTATGAGACTGGAGAAGAGTTAAATTCTAATCCATAGGATCAACAAAGTATAGAGTATGAGGCACGGACATTAAGTTATGGAAATCAGCAAGTGATAATGCATTCTGCTTATTTGGGATTATTCTGAAGAGACAAATGACGCCTCAAGGCAGATGCTTCTGCTCCCACCCCACTCGCCCTGTCCCTTTGCCCCATCAGTCCTGCTACAGGAGACTCTGGTCTTCAGTATGGCCTTTCCCACAGCCGAGCCCGATAGCCTC